AATCGAACAGATTGTTCGTGAGCGGATGGATCAGTCGAACGTGTAATGTTCGCGAACATAATCGAACGAACAACCCCTATTCAAACTCGATCGAACATATTATCGAACGAATATCGAACTGTTCGCGAACAATATCGAACGAACATCAAGTTGTTCGCGAACTGTTCGGTTTGTTTGCAGCCTTAAGTTCACCCACCTGCACACCCACCTCCAACCAAGAGCCACCAAAGTTCCAAACGGGTTTGGGTTTTTGAAAAGGTAAAAAAAATAAAAGGGAAGATGAGGGGGGAAACAAAAATTATATGAAATATGTGAACTAAATGAAAATGTGAAACGGGCAATTTGCAGTTAAAAAAAATTATTTGGAATAGGTTAAAATGCCTTTTTAAGCGGTAATGAAAAGTGAAAGGGGCAATTTCGTCATCAAGTTTCGGCAACACAAAATTTGTAATTGGTCGTCTATTTTTTATTTTAAATCACAACATATTATGTTAATTTAATTCATTCATTTTTTGTAACATTTGGAAATACTTTCAAAACGCTGCGTTTTGAGACTGTTAAATCATGTCATCTTCATTGATTTTGTAATTATCTGTTAGTAATACAAGATATCCATCTGTTTTGCAGGCTTGGAGTTGTCATATGAAGAGATGTGTTTGTAATGAAAGCGCCACGTCATAGGAATCAGTACTACTATAGGCAAATGAGGCAGTTTCAACGTTTTTACAAACTTCGAGTCTGCCATAGACGCTGTTGGTCAACCTTGCCCGTATCTTCCCCTGTATTGACGCCTTCAAGTAGTGTCGAATCAAACGAGGTAATAGTTTCTCTATGTTTAGTTTATGAGTGTCTAATTTGCGTATGTGAGTGTTGACGTGTTTGCTTTATTATTACCATATCTCAATTTTGTTTGTCGTTCCACCGTATCGTTTTTAGATGAGTAATAACGTTAGCTTGTCCGATGAGATGACCTACCAATTTTTTATTCTGTTGTCCGAGTGTGTGAAAAATGCCCATGGAACTGTAATTAAAACGACGGATTACCAGAATATGTTGGTTGATTTGGAACCGTTGGCTGGGAAGAAGCTCGATGCAGGACATTTAGCTTTTAAGTTCTTCCGGTTGAAAAATACCTATAATGCTTGGCACAAACTTATTCAACACACTGCTTTTGGTTGGGATCATCAGAACCAAACCCCAACATGTTTTGTAGATGTTTGGAGAGAATATGTCCAGGTAACTTTTCATATTAATATACGACATTGTACGTTTTACACCTTTTTCCTTGACAAACACATATTAATGTACGTCTGTTTTCATTACCAACATAACAAATAGGCGACGCAGTTCTTTCGTAAGGGACTTCCGTATAAGCAGTTATATGAAGACATTTTTGAAAAGCAAAGCGCCACTGGAAGATTCGCGTACACATCAACGTCCGAACTAGTAGATTCGAACTACAATTCATCTGAACATGGACCGACTAAGAATGTCAACAGTGAGTTTGAACCTGATCCGGATCGAACAACAGGAGAAAAATGATCAAACATTTATGGTCATTAAAGACCCAGAAGGAGGAAAAAGACATCCGGCCCAAGTGAAGAACTTGTGGATGTGATTGGTAGACTGACATACGTACTTGTCGATAGGAATAGGGGATCCGGGGCTGGAAATCGTAATGAAGATGAAGGGGTCAAAGAGAACACCAGTCGTCGATCTGTCCATTTTCCATGTCCAAATGTTTGGACATTTTGACGTCTATGCAGGTTCATACAGATATTTACATTAACGTTGTCGATTACTTGTATGAAAATCCAGGGTTTAGGGAGGCATTCTTACAAATGCCAGTCGAGCATAGGTTAAATTGGGTTTATACTAGGTTGAGAATTGATTAGGATGAGCCTGTTTGTCATACTTGTAGTCCCACAATTTTGTACTAACTAGTGGGCACTGATCCCTTATACGGTTGTTTATTTTTTACAGGATCTTGATTTAGCTTCGACGTAATTATGTTTGCTATCGTATGTACTTATACAATGTGCTATTGTTTTAATGTTAGAACATGTTTCATATAAGTTGGAGCTTGGAAGTACAATTAAATATTGAATGTTATATTTTCCTTAGTACCACAACAGTATGAATTGATGATCAATGTTTTACAAATGTACAGGTTTAGATGGCGTCGTCTAGGTGTACAACTCGTAATCGAAATAATGCTGATGAAGAAAGGGAAATTCTGGTAGATGTTGCGGCTGCATTGTGCGCAGTTGCCGCATTGGAAATAGAATTCGAAACACATGGACGACGATTACGACATACATTCGCATTAACTGGTCACAATAAAATGTTGGAAGTACTTAATGGCCATCCTGACAGAATATTTGCGAAGTGCCGCATGGACAAACAATGTTTTAAATACTTATGTTACATTTTAGCACAACAAGGGAACTTGCGAGACTCCAATAGGATGAGTATTGAAGAATGGGTTATGATATTTTTGACAACCGTTGGAAAAAACGAGACATACAGTACTATTATGGATGATTTCCAACATTTAGGTGAGACAATCTCTAGATATGTGGGCAAAGTTTGCAACACAATATGTGGGTTGCAGATAGAGTTTATAAAGGCACCGGACTTCAGTGCAGTTCCAGAGGAAATATCGACAAACCCATAATATTACTCGTTCTTTAAGGTACTTTTATTATATTATTATTTGTACGTACTTCAGTTCATTGTGTTATTTATGTTGACAGTCAGTTGATATTATTAAATGTCATCTTTTGTCCACATGACTGTATAGGGGCGATTGATGGCACATATGTCGATGCTTGGGTTCCAGCTGAGTTGGCCGATGTCTTCCGGAATCGTAAAAGAACATTGTTGCAGAATGTCATGGTTGTATGTGACTTTAGGATGATTTTCACTTATGTCGTCATAGGTTGGGAAGGATCCACCCACGACTCAAAGGTTTTAAATTCGGTTCTTGATGATCCTAATTCTGGATTCCCACATCCCCCACCAGGTACAACTAGCTTCTTTACGTATTATAACATATTTGCTCCTTTTGCTTGGATTAAAATATCAAATAACATATGTCAGTTGATTACAGGTAAATACTATTTGGTTGATGTGGGTTATGCAAATAGAGGGGGGTTGCTTGCCCCTCATGGATGAGTTCCTTACCATCTACATGATCGTTGTCGTAACCGGAATGATCCACAAGCATTGTTTAGCTACAGACATGCATCACTCCGCAATGTTGTTGAGAGAACCTTTGGTGTTCTAAAGAAAAGATTCTGGATTCTTAATGGAATGAATAATTACCCGTTGGAGAAACAAGCTTGGATTGTTATGACATGTTGTGTACTTCATAATTTTAGCAGAAGTACAATATGCAGGATGAAATCTTTGAACAGTCTATTGCGGAAGTATATTTGCATGACCAAAACAGGGCATCTAATGAAGGAAATGGGGAGGGATCGAGTCAACTGCAGCAACGTATTATTGACGACATGACACATGTGCGGGATAACATAATGACTGAAATGTGGGAACAACATATGACCAATGTCGTAGTTGTTAATGGAGTATAGCTGTATAAACTATTCTAAGGGTTGACAATCAGTAGCTTCGTCAGAGATGTATTAATGTGGTGTTTTTAAATGATGTATTAGTACTTGAAATTAATAATTTCAAGTTTGTCTTTAAGTTAGTGATTACGAAATTACTAATTAAATATTTAATAATATTAAAACGTTAATTGATAAGTTTTTACGATATAATAATAAAAATTAATTTAACAAAAAGCACCAAATAATTCTATCAATAAATCCTTTATAAAAAAATATACCAAACAATTTTTCTATAATTTATTCAACTTATATTATCTTAAATACTTGACCAAACATCAAATCATATTATCGTAATAATAACCCAATTAAATGCTCTATTAAACATATTTTTTTAAATAATATTATTAAAATAATAACTCAACTTAACTTTACAATAATATTTCAAAAATATTAGTTAAAATAACTTAGGGTGCGTTTGGTTTATTATTTTGGATAGGATTTTGGGAATAATATTGGGTAGTTGGATAAGGGAGTATTACGAGGTAAAATTTAAAAATTTATGAAAAAGCCCATAGGTTTGCTAATTTAATTAAACACCTAATATATAAAATGACAAAAACACCCTCACCACTTGTAGTGCCAGATTCCGGCCACCACCGTCGGAATCTGGTCGAAAAATCGCGTTACGACACAGATCGGTCGTAACGCGTCGTTATGACCTTTTCTGACCAGATCCACCATGAAAAAGGCCAGATCTACGGCCTGCTGTGGCCACGACGGCCGAAAAAGGCCAAAACAATGGCCAGACGGCCAGATTTGGCCTTTTTCGGCCAGATCTGTGGTGGCGGATCTGGCCGGAAAAGGCCAGATCGGTGAACTTTTGGCCATTTCTGGTCAGCAGGTAGGCCGTTGTGCAGATCTAGCTACCGCCGACGATGGTTGCCAGAATCTGGCAAATATGGGTCGCGGGAGTGTTTTTGCTAATTTTTAAACTTTTTTTTCAGGGGGTATTTAATGAAATTAATAATCTTATGGGGTTTAAAAATAATTAAAAAAATAAGATAGTATTTTTGAAATAATATACTAAATATTATTTAGAAAATAAGATTGAGAATATGAGCAAAAATAATAAGCTAAACATGTCCTAAACAAACCCACCATACTTTTTAGTTCCGGTAATAATTGTACAGTGAAAACAATTACAACAGTTATCTATCTCCCATTTTGCTTTTGGAACGAAAAGTTTGGAGGGAGACCAAAATGCGAGAGCGGGCAAATTCCACATCAGACAAATGTAGAAAGATGCGAAACATTGGCGTTTGGAGTCCACGCGCCCTCCGCCTCCCCTTCCCTACATTAAATAGGGATATTAAACGATCTTTTGCCATTGCCGTCACTTCAAATCTCTTGCTTCTCTTTCTCCCTTTCACTTTTCACGCTCTTTGCTCGAACCCTAGGTAAATCGATCCAAGTTTCTGAAGCGAAAATGGTGGTTCAATCTTTGGAAAGCGGACAAGCTGAGCGGAGAATGAGCGCGAGGATTCAGGAGAAACAGAGGGTGGAGAAGTTGCGTTTGGTGAAACGGAGAGTGGAGCTTCTTGGTGATACAGAAGGGGGAAGTGACGGTAAGAAGAAGCAAAACAATATTTCCAGCAGAAAAAGGAGGAAAGAAGAAGATTCCGAAAATGCGGAGGGGGGAGACAAGGTTCCAGTTCAAACAACGAAGTGTGAAAATGAGTCTATGAACGGTAATGCTGTAAATCTGGCTGATAAAGGTGATCATTCTATAAACTTGGCTGAAAAAAGTGACCATGCTAAAGTGAAAGAGACTTTGAGGTTGTTTAACAAACATTATCTTCATTTTGTTCAGGTTGGTTTTACCATATCAAACACTATATATAATTTTGTTTGGTTTGTCTTAGTTTTAACATGTATTACTTATGGCTTTAGTTGGAAGAAGCAAGATGCAGAAAAGAAGAAGTAGATAAGAAAGCTTCCAAAAAGTCAAAATCCAAGGTTAGTATGAACCTTAACTGTTTGTATTTGATATTGGTTTGAGTTTTTTTTTTTTAATTATTAATTTTGTTAGTAGACTGAAAAATTATTTATCTCAGCAGTCATGGTGTATGCTTTTTAATCTGTGGGAAATCATCATGTGTTGTAGAAATCATTATTTTTCTCTATGTTATACTCTTGAGGACATGACTTATGTCCATGTGTGTTTTCTCTGACATGGCATATTTTTGTCCCCAGATTATAGTATGAATTCATTCAAATGTTATTTTCCACAACTGCCAATCATTTGATTGGTGAATGAATGGTGCATTATAAAGACCACTGACATATTTCAATTTGATATTGAGGTATTTCTTAGCTGTGGTTTGGCTTTGCATATATCTTTTTTGATAATTTTTGAAAGTTAATTTGCAAAGTAGATAGATATTTAGGTATAAATTTGCGATTCTTGGTCTTTAAGTTTTTGATATTATATAGTAATGAGAAAGTTTTCCAGAAAGGCAATGTACCTGAAGAAAATACTAAACACAAGGCCAAGCGACCTGATCTGAAGGCAATATCCAAGGTAAGTCAAGATTTGTGTGTTAATGACTCTTTAGAATCTTACGTCTGTAACTCCTTGGTAGTTGTTTCACTGCTTAATTGCTTATAACAAATTCTATTCACTGTTCTTGATTGCTAGTTTATCATGTATTGTAGTGACCTCACTTCTTTAGTGGACCGATTGAAATTAGAATTCCCTGTTCATGGCTTCTTTGCTTAATTGCTTAGGGTTTCCATTGAACATTGGCTTTATTGTCTCTGCCAAAACTGTCAAAGAACTATGAAGAAAAGGATTTGCAGGGGTTGGAGTGACCCAAGAAATTTTAGCTATTTTAATAAATTCAAGCCACTACTACCCAATAGTTAATGTTGTGGCTATTGGTTGAGGAACCATATCTCTTCTTGATGTTGTCAACCTTTCTCTAATTGTTCTTAACATTGTAATTGGGGAAAGTTTTTTTGTTTATGGTAACAAGTAATAATGGTTGAAGAAGTATACATCGGATTGAAGCTTAAATACCATTGCTGGACATTTGTCTATAAGCTTGATCTTTTTTGTCAGTTGTTTAATTGATAGCTATTGGAAAGGAAAAAAAAAAAAAAGAAAGTTTTGGCGATTTGAGGTGCCAAAGTCCTCCAGTTCACACTTGTTTGACTAGAAAAATGGTTATATCTTATTGAAAGCATCAACAGCTTTTATACATAAAAGAGTGACCTAATTGCCGAAACTAACTCCTAAAATTATTACTAAAATAAAGGAACAAAGGCCACGTGCCTTAATAGTCCAAAGACTTATTCAATCAGCAATCGTTTTGACCAAGCCAAGTCAAATTATAGCTAAGAAAAATGACACTTATTAAAATATGGCAATGTGTACTATCAATAGCTTGACAACACATAACACATCTCCCTTCTTCAAAGGACCTTGCCCACAAGGTCAAGGAACTTTTTTTGAACGTCTTCGAAATCTTCCCATGTCGCATCCTCAATTGTAGTCCCTTTCCACTGAATTAAAACCTCCACACCAGCTTGATTCCCCTTTTTCTTTAGTCTCCTTTGTAAGATCTTATCAAGTTCAGGTATTAGGGCTCCATTGGCAACAAGAAGAGGTAAATCTGAGGACGGAACAACATGAGATCCCAACTTCTTCTTAAGACATGAGACATGGAATACAGGATGTATTTGAGATTCCTTTGGTAGATCTAGCTTGTATGCAACATTTCCAATTCTCTGGAGCACCTGAAATGGACCATAATAACGGGGAGAAAGTTTTAAGATTCCTTCGCATGACTACAGAGATCTATCGATATGATCTCAACCTTAAATAAACCCAATCTCCTACCACAAACTCCCTTTTAGTTTTTTTTTTATCAGTAAAAAAAATTCATTTTGGCTTGGGCTTGTAAATTCTCTCGAAGCAAGGTCATTACAAAGTCTCGGTTCCTTAATTCATCTTCCACAGCTTGCATGCGGGTGGAGCCTGGTTCAAAGTGAAGCATCTGAGGTGGAGGAAATCCATACACTACTTTGAAAGGAGTAATTTGGGTTGAAGTATGGATTGAAGTATTGTAAGAATATTCTGCCAAAGGAAGCCAACGAGCCTAATCTTTTGGCCTATCTTTAGAAAAACAATGCGGATAACATTCTAGGTCCTGATTCATCACCTCTGTCTGCCCGTCAGTCTGCGGATGTATGAAGAATTGAGAAGTAGTTCAGTACCACAAATTCAAAACGGGCTCCCTCCAAAATTGACTTGTGAAAACAGGATCCCGATCATTGACTATGGATTGGGGTAGGCCATGTAATTTGAAAACATTTTCCATTAAAATGTGGGCTACAGTTATGGCAGTATATGTATGTGAAAGAGATATAAAGTGTGCATATTTGCTTAACCTATCCACTACTACCATGATAACATTACGCCCTCTTGAAAGTGGTAGTCCTTCAACAAAATCCATGCTGATAGTAGTCCAGTTTTGAGCAGGAATAGGCAAGGGTTGAAGAAGACCAGTTGGATGGAGAGTTTCTATTTTGTTTCGTTGACAAGTATCGCACTCCCTCACATAAGCCCGAACATCTTGTTTTAACCTATGCCAAAATAATTCTCTTTTAATTCTAGAATATGTTTTTAGAAACCCCAAGTGACCTCCCAAATAACAATGGACTTTTGTGAAATTGACGTAAGATCTGTTGTTGGATTGGTACCAAGGTTCCTAAATGCAGTTTTTCCTTATAGAAAAACAACCCATTTCGGTACTGATATTTGGTTGAATCCAAGTTCCCCTGTTGGAAGCGATAAATCATATCTTGCAATTGGGGATCTTGTGGGTAAGTCTTGCGTAGCTCATCCATCCATGTGGCCCTTATTTCACTGATTGCATGACTTTGCATCGACACCATGGTTGTGATACTTTCACCTTCTGCAGAATGTATCTATGAGAGAGCATCTGCCATTTTATTTGTCTTGCCACTCTTATATTCCACTGTGAAATCATACCCTAATAATTTAGAGACTCATTTTTGTTGAGCTGGAGTACCCACCTACTTTAACAAATGTTTCAAGGCTTGTTGATCTGTGTGTATCGTGAATGAGTAACCAAACAAATAATGCCTCCATGTCTGAATATCTATAATTAATGCCAATAGCTCTTTCTCATAGGTAGAGAGAAACAAACTTTTCCCCTTCAGTGCTTGGCTAGAATAGGTTAACGGTCTTCCTTCTTGCATAAGAATTGCTCCTAAACCATCTCCAGATGCGTCACACTCTATAATAATTTTTTTTGAAAAATCTAGTAACCTTAGCACTGGTGGTTTCGTCATTGCTTCCTTTAATTGATTAAAAGCTTGAGTAGCCTGCTCAGTCCAAATAAAAGAGTTCTTTTTAAGCAAATTCATAAGGGGTGTCGCAATCTCACCATATCCCTTGACAAATTTTCTATAGTATCCAGTAAGTCCTAAAAATCCCCTTTAAGCCTTAAGACTTGCAGGTTTTTGCCAATTCAACATAGTAGAGATTTTGTGAGGATCTGCTTTAACCCCATCCTTGGAAATTAGATGTGCTAAATACTCCACCTTTGGGCTGCCAAATACACATTTTGAAGCCTTTGCATACAATTGATGTGTTTTTAAAATTTGCAAAACAATTTTTAAATGCCACAAGTGGTCTTCCAAAGTTGCACTGTATATGAGAATGTCATCAAAAAACACAAGCACAAACTTTCGAAGATGAGCTTTAAATATTTATTCATTAATGCTTGGAAAGTAGACGGAGCATTGGTAAGCCCAAAGGGCATAACCAAAAACTCGTAGTGTCCCTCATGGGTTCTAAAGGTAGTTTGTGGATATCATCAGAATTCATCCGGATTTGGTGATACTCGGATCGTAAATCTAATTTAGAAAAAATAATAGCCCCATGCAATTCGTCTAATAATTCCTCAATATTAGGGATATGGTACTTATCTTTAACAGTATCCTTGTTCAACGCTCGATAATCCACACATATTCGCCAACTGCCATCAGCTTTTTGCACTAGTAGCACTGAAAAGGAGTAAGGGCTGTGACTTGTTTGGATGACTCCACTAGACAACATCTCTCGAACTGTCTTTTCAATTTCTTCCTTATGATAATATGAATATCTATAGTGCTATACACATGTGGGTTGAGCTCCCTCTTTCAATGGAATTTTATGGTGAGGCTTCTAGGTGGGGGTAAACTAGTTGGCTCAGAGAAAACTCCTGCAAAATTCTTGTAAGAGTTCTTGAATACTTGGTGGAGTGGGAATCATGGATTTTGGCTTGTCAACTTCTAGCAATTGGAGCCATACTCCTTTCCCAAAGTATTTGGTGCACTTACTAATTTTTTTCCTCTTTTTCCAAACTTGTCTTAGAGGGCCTTATACCTTGTAGTCGAATAGTAGAACCATTAAAAGGAAACTGCATGGTAAGGTCTGTAAAATTCCATAAGATTGGTTCAAGACGTCTCAACCAATCCACTCCCAACACCAAATCACAACCTTCAAGAATTAAAAGATCCAAAGTAGCCTCAATCTAGAAGCTTGGCAATTGGATAGGAACAGCCTTGCAGTAGTCATGGCAAGGAAGATTGTCACCATTAGCGATCTGAACATTTAATTGGCTATTTACTATTGGTAGCTTAGCCTTCCTAGCTATATTGGGATCAACAAAACTATGGGTGCTACCGGTGTCAATGAGAACCATTACTGTCTAACAATGTATTCTTCCTTTCAATCTCTTAGTCTTCGAAGCAAGAGCTCCCGCGATGGCATGAAGCGAAATCCCCAAGAGTTCTTGAGGAGGAGTTTGAGTAGGCAGCCCAAAAGCATTAATTCTCGAGTAGGGGTTTGTTTTAGTTAAAAGAATAGGTTTACCTTGGGTTTTTAATAAAACCTTTTCTTTTTGTAATCGAGGAAGCCCAAACGTGTTAGACAAAGTGGTTGGTTTAAACATAGAAACAGTAATTCGCAAGTCATCCTGCAAGCCACTAAGAAATGTTCTAATTCGGAATTCTTTAGTGAGCCTAGAAATTTTGTTGGACAGAATTTCGAATTGGGTCTGATAATTCTCTACACTGGTAGTTTGTTTGAGTTTGGTGAACGCTTCGATAGGATCCTCATATGCCGTCGGTCCAAAGCGGACTTTAAGCGCCTTGACGAATTCTTCCCAGGTATGAATAAGGGTTGCATCCATAAGCCAACAATACCAAGCGAGTGCCTTACCTTCCATGTGGAATGCTGCAATTTAAAGCCTTTGTTCATCTGGAGTATTACTGTATGAAAAGAATTGTTCAATTTTGAGAATCCATTCAGTTGATCCTAAACCATCAAACTTTGGAAACTCCAATCGCAAAGTTCTGGCTTGGATGGCTCCACCTCCCTCAAATAATGGATTTTCCTTGAGTTGCAAAACCTCATCCTTAGAAGATTCCTTGCCAATTTTCAAATTTCCCTAGGTAGTAGCTAGTTGATCGTAGCTTGTGGCAAGTTGGTTAATCTGTTGTAAAACAGCTTCCAGTAGAGTTCCCTAGCGTTCTTGTTTTGCCTTTAATTGAGTTGTTTCACCTCTTAAAGTGGATACAACTTCTGTTAGTTGAGCATTGCGAGTCCCATCAGCCATGTTGCAGGAACAAGGCTCTAATACCAAATGATAAGTACTGGAAAGGAAAAATAAAAAAAAGAAAGTTTTGGTGATTCGAGGTTCCAAAGTCCTCTAGTTCACACTTGTTTGACTAGAAAAATGGTTATATCTTATTGAAAGCATCAACAGCTTTTATACATAAAAGAGTGAGCTAATTGCTGAAACTAACTCCTAAAATTATTACTAAAATAGAGGAACAAAGGCCACGTGCCTCAACAGTCCAAAGACTTATTCAATGAGCAACCGTTTTGACCAAGCCAAGTTAAATTACAGCTAAGAGAAATGACACTTATTAAAATATAGCAACGTGTACTATCAATAACTTGACAACACATAGCATTAATCAATTTGGCCACAAGTTTTAGTGTTTGAATCTCTCTATGTGTATGCATTTTTGTATTTGTATTTGTGTTTGCTTGGTGCATGGCTTCACTTGGGAGGATTTTTAGAGTTCAAATACTGTTGTTATGCCTATCTCTAATAAATTAAATTTTTGGTTGAGTGGTGACTTGAGATGGTATTAGAGCTTGTTAAAGAAGAATACTATGTTTAAATGCCCCACATCACATAATAAGTGCATAGGGTTTTTACTTTTTATCTTTTAATTTTTGGATCCAAGTTACATAAGAGGGGGCTTATTAGAGTTTAACTACTATTGTTAAGTCCTAACCTGTCAACTTAAACTTACTGGGTAAATGGTAACTGAAAATGGTACTAAAATAAGGTTTGTTTATACGAGCTCTCCTATGCTTCACATTTTTGTAATTTTATCTGTATCTGTATGCTTGTGTTTGGAGCTACTTTGCATGAGAGATTTTTCTTCTCTCTCTCTCTTTCTTTTAAAGGCAGAATTGCATATAGCAATAATAAGAAAGATACAGAGATCGTGAACAAATATGCCTCTGCAAAATAAGGAAAAAAAAGATCTTAAAATAAAGTAGAATTCTGAAGAACATATTAGGAGCCAATCAGGTCTTAGGCCATCTTTGCAGAATATCACATGTATTATTTCTTCCACGGGCCAATGACCATGCCAATATTTTGTATCTTACTAGTAACTTAAGTAATAATGTTGTGTACTTGCCTGTCAATTTAAGCTTTTGAATTTGAGTGGTTACTTGATTGTTCATAGTTGTGATATCTTTCATATGCTTTCCACCTTTAAGAAGCTACAATTTTTTGGCAGATGATGGAGGAAAATGAGATACTGTACCCTGAGAAACGAATTGGTGACATTCCTGGTTGGTTGTTTGCACTTGAAATCTTTTTCCAGTTTAATAGATTTACTCTCATTGAGTATGACTGATTATATTATATATAATTTTAACTTATATATAAGCTTTGTGAACTCATTTTTTGACTATAACTTGTTTTGGTTGTAAAATTTTTATTAGAATGTTTGGTATTTCCATGTGATGGCAGGTATTAATGTTGGGCATCAGTTTTATTCACGGTCTGAAATGGTTGCAGTTGGTTTTCACAGCCATTGGTTGAATGGAATTGATTATATGGGGATGTCCTATGGAAGGGTAAAACATTCTTCTTACCGGATGGGGGAGTATCTGAACAAAGTTAAATTTACAATTGATGTTTCTGTACATTTTTTCCCCTTTGAATGCTATAGTACTTTGAAAAGCTTGTGTTATATGAGTGTGTTCTCTTATGATATTATGCATTCTTTGTACTGCACATGTTTTTGTAAGCAATTTTACTTGGATTGTGAAACTTTGTGTAAATTTGCACTGCCTATTCTAGCTGTTACATTTACCAATTTACTATTGAACTTGTATTAGATATTTATAACTTAAGGATGGTACAAACGTCCTCTGTATAGAAATTTTCTTGTTAAGTAAATAGTTGTATTTTGTTGAATGACATTCTGATGAATAAGTTGGTTCTTATCTATGGAATTTCTATTTACTTCCCTATCTAAATTGATTATTTTACCACCTTGAAGTGTCAATTGACAAATTTTTTTAGCCTTTTGAAGTTGACAGGCCCTTAATTCTTAAACATTAGATGTTAATGTATTCTATAATGAATGGAGGATTGATTTTGAAATTTTGATTCTTTTTTGCTGTCTTGTGGAGGGGTCAAATTGCATCTCCAAAATCCTGAGATTTTCAATAAAGGATTAACAATTTGGAATAGAGGAGTCATATTGTGATGTTATGTTACATCCTTTGTACTATGAGGAAAGGACATTGCTTTGGAAATTTGTATCCCATATGTTTTATGTTTGCACTGCTCTGATCTTCTCAATTTTAGATGCACTTTTGGTTGGTATTTTAGGTTAATAGTGATTTGATATTTTGTTGTTTTATAATTTTTTTAGTACTTAGCATGCTACACTTACACATTTTCTATACCAACCGAATGGTAATGTTCCTAATATAATTAATCAATAATTGAATGGTAAGATGAACTATCCAGACTATATTTGCTTTTAATGTAGTTGCTGTCTTTAAATAATCCAAAAGAAAACAAAATTTATGCTGTCTAAAGGGTTAACTGTAGGGTGGTACTCATGAGAAGCAATGTGAAGTTTTTCCTCTCATTTCCAGGTGTATAAGCAATATCAATTCCCGCTAGCTGTAGCCATAGTTTTGTCTGGCATGTACGAAGATGACTTGGATAATGCGGAGGATGTTATATACACTGGTCAAGGTGGACATGACTTGACTGGCAATAAACGTCAAATTCAGGACCAAGTCTTGGAACGTGGTAACCTTGCACTTAAGGTGTGTATGCTAAGAACTCTTTATTTTTGTTACTTGCTTTATTTTTTTGTGTGGATAATATTGTATATTCTTATTATAATGGCAATTGCTTTAGCAGTGCTAGAACCATGGGGTTCTTGTGTTAAACCTTTCACAATTTGCTAACTATATCCAGCAGGGTTCTAGCATTCTAGCTGTGTTAGAACCGGAAAAAGTGTAAGAGCCATGAGATTCTTGCACTGAATCTTTTAAAGTTTAAAACAAAAGTGCTAGAACTGCAATGTTATAGTGAGGTTTGAGTGGTTCTGCCACTGCTAGAACCCCAAGAATGTTAGATTGACAGGGTTCTTGCATTAGACCATTCAAATACAGAGTATTCTTATCCAATTAAGTTGAAGGTGACTAGATTATGAGATAAAACATGAGATGGACTATGTTCATTTTTCATTTTAACATTTGGCTATCTAGGCTAATTTCTCTATAAACTTTGACTTGCAGGAACTTTGTTTTCTTTCTTCCTTTGTTTTGATATGAAACTTAGATATGTATATTACTTTAAGAAAACTTAGATAGTTGATCAGTTATTCACTACTGTAAAAGTAACCCATCTAAAAAGGGTTTCAAAACTTTACGAAGGTCTCATGCACCTGTGCAAAAAGAAACCCAAAAAATTAGAACACTGTGGCATGAGCAAATCCTAAAAAATCAGAATCAACTTATTACCCATAATTAATTAAGATGGATAAAGAAGAAAGAGGTGTCCTCAATGTCTTTTGACATAGAAGCCCAAAGAGATGCCAAAAACTTGATCTTGTCATATGGAGCACCGGTTTCTTCTTCCCCACTTTTAATTCTTTCACCCCAAATCACTCACAAAAGAGCCGAACTTTGTATCTTGAACAGTGTGTATTTCATTTTTCAATACTATCCCTTGTTATTGCTTTTAAATTGGAAAAAAAAAACTTTTTTTTTCAAAGAAAAAACAATAGGACTTTGATTATTTTTTCTTTAGAATAATGCTAGTAGATGTGAAACTATTTTCTCTAATAAGAAAAATGTATGATTATTTTCCATCTTCCATTTTGAGTGCCGTAACTTAAACAGTGTTGTAGTCAATATTTTTAAAAATCTTCCCAAACAGCCTGTTTTTTATAATAGAGGAAGCCAACCATGTCTTGGCATTGCGCCATTATGATTAATATATGGATTTCGCATAATTTTTTTTATTATGCATCTCATTTCTTTTGTTGCACTGATGCGAGGTTTTGGGTATGGCCTCTGGACTAACTTGAATTTTACTTACATTTAATTGCAGAACTGTGTGGAGCAAAATGTGCCTGTCAGAGTAATTCGTGGTCTGAAATCTTCTACTAGTTATACTGGAAAAGTTTACACATATGATGGTTTGTACAAGGTATTTTTTTAATAGAAACTTGTTTGCCTTTAATTTATTTGTTTATCCAACAACACATCTTGTTTTATGGAATTATATGTTGAAATTGAATCAATAATATCTTTTAGATACTATGAAAGGTGTAAACCATGCTGGTAATCAAATTACATTCTCTTTGCTTTCTTAATGGGGATGTGATTCTGTTTTGAATTCAGAGATTCATTCTATCAACCGTGTAGTAGTATTGAGTTTTTTTGATACAGATTGGTTTTTTGCTTCCATTTAGGCTTCAGTTGTGAAGGAGTTTCAATCCTGTGCCTTTATATAGTGAGTAATACTATACATACATCATTTCCATACAACATTATGTGGTAAGATATGATTAACTAATTTAAAGTTAAAATTAAACTTTCACCCAATCATATCTTGCCACATAATGTTGTATGGGAAATGTTGTATGAAAATAATGTATGTGTAGTATTATTCTTATATAGTTTACTATAGTCCTTACATGATTTTTTTTTTTTAATTCTTTTTGGACACTTGGTCTAGAGTTGTATCTCCTCATCTTTTTACTTTTATACAGTGTTCTTAGTTTCTGAACCAAAAAGAGAAATGTGATAGCTGAAGTATATCTTTGCTCTGTTGAAATCTTTGCAATCCCGTTTTGCATGTTAAAGACGTTAAAGAGGGAATCAAGATGAACAAAGTTGAAATTGTGTGGTTCTGGTTAGATTAGAGTCGTTTGGATTTGCATGTTTGTCATGCTAAACTGTCACTAGGCACAATGAGCAACTCAGCAGATATTTTGGTCAATTCTCTTGAATTGAAATTAACACTACTGATGTGATTTTTGCTAATTTTGATGTTATATTTGGAACACTGTGCTGAATTCTATGTTTTTACTTTTATACTTAGTAATATGAGTGATTATAGACAAACATGTTTTAGTCTCTTTCTCAAAGTTTTTGCCTAATTGTAGCCAAGACCTTTTGGTTTGGAAATAGGCTGAGAGAGGCCTTTGATACAATTTTATCTTACGTTTGGAAAGATGTTTTATGATTTTAAGGGAGGTTTTATGACAGTTGTCAAAATATCAAGGGAGGCTTAGAGTATATAGAAAAGTTTGATTGTATTTTAGCCAAAACTCAAAGGTAAGCATTGAATTTCTTTCAACAATATAATTTGATTTATTAATTTTGTTTCCTGTGTTGCAGGTTGTTCAATATTGGGCAGAAAAAGGCATTTCTGGCTTTACCGTCTTCAAGTATCGCCTAAGGCGGCTTGAAGGACAACCTATACTGACAACTAACCAGGTGCATTCCTTGTCTGTTAATTTTGTTGTAGCAATTTTCTTATTTTTTGAGTTTGTCTTTTCACTGTATGCCTTATTTTTTTCTTTCACTGAGAGCTTTTGCCAATAGGTTTGTTTTGTTGTCTTCAAGTATCGCCTAGGGGTGTTGCTGTATCACCTTGTTGGATTTCATGATAATTTTGTTTTTCATAGGAAGAATTTTTTGGTATTTACTGTAGGTACTTTGGTTTTTTGATATGAAATAGCTCTCAGTACTTTCTTATAATGATTTGTCTTCTATAACAAAGTAATGAATAAATTTATATAACCCTAAATATGTTTGCTCATTATGACAGGTTCATTTTACCCACGGACGTGTTCCCCAATCTATGTCAGAAATACGAGGGTATTAAAAGAATCAATGTTCATTTAAAATAGAATATCAGCTTTTAATTTTTTATTGTGATTAAGCTCTATTCTTTTGTTGGCAAAGGTTGGTCTGCGAGGACATTACAGGGGGCCAAGAGAATTTTCCCATTCCAGCTACGAATTTGGTTGATGATCCTCCTGTTGCGCCAACAGGCAAGGCAAACTATTGAAATTTAATATCAAAGTGTTGATTACTTATATAAAAGAAAATGCACATAGTTGAAAGAAATAGTTGGTATGTTCGGTTGCCTCTCTAACTTCTCTCATTTTTCACAGAACAATTAAATGTTTTCATATTAAGCATAGTGATTTAATCACACAAGTATCTTTGATGAAAATCACAAAGAATAAAAAATTGGGAGAGAATTTAGGTGTGTTAAATATGCTAGTGGATGCATGACTTATTTATTTCCAATTAATGTATTTCAAAGTTATTTTTAAGTGATAATCCTTGGACTAAGCCCTTGGTGCACCATAGCACCCCCTTGGTCTCTTTTTTTAATCAAAATGGAAATATTTCATAGAATGAATACAACCCTTTATCTACTTAACCATCTCTTTCCAAAACCTTTTGCTTTTAGAACAAGTTAAAAAAAAGTCCAATCTAAAGCATCATATGTTTTCCAGAAATTGATTATATTGTCATCAATTGTTTTTCTTCCCGCACTTCTCTACAACCTTATTTGCCATTAACACAACAGAAAAAATATGCGTATCTTTTATAAAAGCAGATTGAATTGCCAAATTGTCTTTTTTAAAGCTTCTCTTAGTTGAAGAGTAAGCACTTATTAGCATTAGCCACAATTTTTCATTGACCAGAGCCAAATTTATCTTAAGCTAATCAAATTCAATGCCATGCTTGATTTATATTGAAATTGTGGTACTTTAGTGTTCCTTTTTGGTGATGAAGTGAAGAATTTCAGGTTTTACTTATTGCAAGACTTTACAAGTTGCAAAAAATGTAAAGCTCCCTGCTAGTGTCATCGGATGCAATTGCAAAGGAAGTTGTGAGAATTCCAGGATTTGTTCTTGCGCAAAGCTTAATGGTTCTGACTTTCCATATGTGCGCCGTGATGGTGGCAGGTAAAATTTAATGTGGTGAAGTATTATTTTTCTGACTTATGGCTTGAATTAAAATTAATTATACCATAATGATTTTGAAGATATTGATCATCTTCCATGAAGTATTGTGAATGGACTATTTTTTTGCTAAAAAATCAACATTTACATGATAAAGCTTCAAAATATTCTATACACCTGTTTACTTATTACAACCCTATTGTTTCTTCTCATATTCTAGCCTAGAAAATCGAGAGTGAAAAAAATCTAAGATGTTGTTTTCAAAGAGTCTCTTTTGCCAAGCTAAGATCTTCTATTACTGGTATTGCTTCCCTGGATGTTTATGTCCACAATTTGATTATATTTCAAATATTCAACAAATCAGCAACTTTCACACTTAGAGCGCCATGTAGTTGCTTAGAGAACTGTATGTTTGAACTTTGGATTTGTTAACGATAACAAGCAAGAAGCTTTAAGAAATTTAAATTATTGAGATTCATTGCCGGGGAACAAAATATGCACAAATCCTTGTAACATCAATGGGCAATTTGCATTTTGATCTCCATTTATCTGAAGATACAGTAAAACCTCTGTATAGTGATACTCTAGTGGAATAATGTCCATGTTGTCATAAAAAATTATGGTTCTAACTTGGGTCAGTTATAAATAAAAATAAACTCCATATTATAATAAATTATAATTTTTTTGGGTTTCGTCTTAAGGAATTTGTCTATACATAGTAATAATTATTTGTATATTGTAAAAAATATATGCTATGTTATATTAAAGATTTAAGATGAAATAAAATAATTATTTAAAATTATTTGAGACAATGGTTTATACTTTAGAGCTGTTATCATATCTTTGAATTTGCGGGTGTGTAATAATTCGTTAGCATAGACATCTTGACACGAAACTTTTTGCATTTATAGAATTTACATTGAGAGAAAAACATTAAAGAAAATGCAAAATTTGAGACTCTTAAGATGACTTCGCATATTCCCAATACTATATAGATACATGTACTAGTTTTTTGAAACTATGTTTATCTCCTTTATCAATGTCTATACTTTAGATTTTTGACATGCTTCATTAATTAATTATTAATATAGTGCATATTTTACCTTTATATTACTTGCACTAAGGATAATTAAGATAAAACAATAATTTTTGTAATTACACCTCTATTAAATTATAATGTTTTCATAATAATAAAATTAGTTTGGTCCCATTATTATGACTATAGAGAGGTTTTATTGTATATGGATTTATGTGGTGGATTTGGCTGGCTTAAGGGAGAAAGGAATGAAGGTTGGATGGCTAGATCAAGAGAGAGAAACAGAGGATTTTTCTTTTAATCTCGTTGTAGATACAAAATTATAGTTACTTTCCAGTGTTCAGACTAATAGATTGATCTGAATTTTGGGGAAGTTGATTGATAAATTTAGAACAGCAGGGGTTTGATTGATTTTGCTTAAAAATTTAGGGCCCTCAAGGAAACTTAGCCTTTTAGTTTTTGATCTTCTGATCTGGTGCTATTTTCATTGTTCTACCCTCCAGATTGATTGAAGCAAAGGATGTTGTGTTTGAATGTGGTCCAAATTGTGGGTGTGGACTTGATTGCATCAACCGGACATCTCAGAAGGGGCTGATGTATCGGCTCGAGGTTTGTCACAATAACTAATAGCCAACAGTTACATCTCTCGCATTCTGTAAAAGATTTTCCATTATTAAATGTTGCAAATACAATACCCCTTTGCTGATAACAGGTTTTTCGTACCCCAAAGAAAGGATGGGCTGTTAGATCCTGGGACTTTATACCTGCTGGGGCGCCGATTTGTGAGTACACAGGAGTACTCATGAGGACAGAAGATGTGGATAATGACTCTGAGAGTGATAATAATTATATTTTTGACATTGATTGTTTGCAAACAATAAGGGGGCTTGGTGGAAGGGAGGTACTGTTTAGCATCTTGACTTAATATTTTATATGTTGCTATTCTTTATCCTATCAATTTTCCGTCCACTGGCTGAGTAACTATTCCTGTTGGTCTTTAAGTCGAGGCCGTTAATGCTGGCAAGGTTTGGGCTAGTCATTGCATTTCATAATCCATGGCTACAAATTGTAGCAAATTCTGTCTACAACTCATTGCTTGATTTCTGGAAACCATGTCAGTCTAAATTGGCTTATCTACTTATCTACCTGTAATGTAACACTTTGTGCTTTTTATGTTTGACATGTAGTTCATAGGAGATTGCGGTAAATTCATCACTGTACTATAGACATATTAAAGAAGAAATTGAGGTGAATACATTAGCGTACTGGAGATCTATGAAGAGATAATATTATCTGTAAAGGGAAGCAATTCTATACAAGACAGTGACAGAAAAATGTCAAGGATAATCTACCCTTATCTGTGTCAAAATAAGCTAACTGTACAAAGTTATCTCAAAACTAAAGCCCAAAACCCCTTCACAGATATGTGATGTACTCAATTACAATTTTATTTTGATAGGGTTTTGCTGTTTTTTTCTTTTTTCTTTTCATGCTACATTTGAATTTACATTGATATTTTTTTTTAGAGGCGACTAGGAGATGTATCCATACCAACAGTGCATAATTCGGATAGACCTGATGATCAGAGATCTGAAAGTGTTCCAGAGTTCTGTATTGATGCAGGTTCCATGGGAAACATTGCCAGGTTTATTAATCACAGTTGTGAACCTAATCTCTTTGTCCAGTGTATTTTGAGCTCGCATCATGATGTTAAACTTGCTCGGATAGTGCTATTTGCAGCAGATAACATACCTCCTTTGCAGGTTAGTTACTGTTCCCCATTCTTTCTCATTCTTGTTATTACTAATCTATTCTCTCTTGAAAATAATACTCAAAATGTTTATTGTTTAAAATTGGAGCTAAGAAGATATACTGAATGGTTTTTGCCCCCCTTATATTGCGTTAGGCTTGACTTTTCTCATAATGAGCTTGAACTTTTTAATTTAGACTTTGTATAGGCTGAAGTACATGGACTATCAAGGGAATTGAATTTGTGACTTGCTACTGTTGTTGGGTACTTGTAGGAGCTTTCCTATGATTATGCTTATACACTAGATAGTGTGTGTGGTCCTGATGGGAAGGTGAAGAAGATGCTATGCTACTGTGGCGCAGCTGACTGTAGGAGTCGGTTATTCTAGGTTTACCTGTTTCTCCTGCTTCCTTTAGCTGAAAAAGTTACCAATATTGTGTATCAACGAGGTAATCACTTGGTTTTCTGGTGGTGGTCTTTTTTCTTTTTCTTTTTTGTTTTTGGGGGGAATAATTCAACAATTATGTCCTTGAAAATTTTGATGCGACCATTGTAGGCTCGATAGTGTTGCAGTATAGTGTTTTTTTCTGGTTGACATTATTCACTGATATTTGTTATAGCTCAAGAGAAATGAGAGAAGAATAATGTGAAAATTGTAAGCGTTATTGAAAATCTGTATCAGATGTGAATCGTCATTGACAAATTGCGACAGATAAAGTTTATGATGTGAGTGGTAGTATGTATATCTTTCTTTAGGAAACTGAAAAGTTTTTATTGTAAAATTTTTCAATGGTTCATTTCTTTAAAATTCTTTTGAAGTTTAGAATCGTTGGTGAAAGAACTTCCATTTTTGAAACTTAAGTTTTTTTAATGTTATTTGGAAGCTCTACTTTATTTAACTAAATGATAAAATTATATTAAATAGACCCATACATAACATTAAGTTAGTGATGATTGATATGATCTAGAATACAAATTGATTTGTCTTCCATAGGATTTGATTTAGGAAATAAATATAAGGGCATTTAAAATAACTTCCTAATTTTTAGGTATACATGAAATAAACTTTTTAGTTTTCAAGTATTAATTACCCAATTTTTTAATTAATTATAATTGCAGACAAAATTTCAAATTTAGAAATTTTTGATTGATGTAATATATTATATATTTATATTTATAAAATTTTTTATACAAAGTGTAAACATTTTTCTCGTTATATAATACGGTCTAAGGAATATGAGTAAACTCTAGGGAATACGAGTAAACGACAGGACAAGTAGCTCCGCTGGAAAAGACGCCCACACAACTTTAAATTTCATCAAACTTAATAATTTTTTTTTTACGAATTTCTAAGTTTATGATTTAGAACTAAAAAGGTTCCCTATTTCAAGGCCTATCTTAATAAAGTGACCTTGGGAGAGTTACACCCCATTAATATCATATTTCTCATAAATTAATGTAAGTTCGTACAAATACAGTTACCGTTTTTCCACCCGTCAAGTTTCGTTAGGGTTTTCCGTTCTGAAAAAGGGCAATACGGTCAATTTCAATCCAGCCACAAAAATAAAAAATAAAAAATTGAAATCTCGATGAGTGTCGCCTGAATGGTAGGCTGCCTTTTCTCTCTGCTCTCTGTAATTGAAGCCATTGCGATCTAGGGTTATTGGTTTTGCGATCAACACATCTCCACCCCTGCTGATCATAGATATACCATATCGGCTTTTTTTCATCTTTTGTTTGACCTACTTTTAATAAACTACAGCACCACTTTGACATGGGTATTTCCGCCCATTGACACCCACTCTCAACTCTGTAACCTTGTTGTAGAACCTTACAAAATTTCACTAAGGTATGTCTATCTCAACTTATATTTATCTACAATACACATATAGATTTTCCCTTTCCGTTTCCTCTCTTTTAACAAGTGTGTTTACTTCAACTGTCATTGCTTTTTGTTTTTTGGGTTGGAAATGGTGGTGAAAAGAAGCTTAGTTGGGTATTCAATATTCTTGTTAAATTTGGAGTTAAAGATAATTGAGTAGTTTCGAATTTAGAGGAAATGCATTGTTAGGTTATGTAAGGACTAAGTAGTAAAAAATTTATCTACTGTTATTTGTAGTAACTGCTCGATGACCAAACTTTGCAAAGCTTTGATTGAATTTAAAAACTTTTTGGAGTTTATATTGCTTAAATTGTAGCATTAAGATGTTGTATCGTTATTATACATTGTTGATTTCGCTTCTAATGGTCTCGTTTCCGATCTTTATTATATTGATATAAGATGATTGAGTAGTTTTCAATCAATTTTGTTGTCATTAAATATGTGGTAGACTGCGTCATTGAGATTTTCATTTCTGTTCAGCTTGTGTTTTCATGGTATTGAATCTGCTTGAAAAGGTCCTTTTAGATAAGCTCTCTTAATTATGTTTATATTTGCTTGATATTTCAAAATATATATCAGTCAAATAGTTGTTGGGTGGGATACTTCCAAAACGAACAAGTTCTCGACAGTCGTCTTTTAGATCTAGTTCGCATTCATGGTGTCGTCACAATTATCCATTGCCACCATATGCTCAACCTTATGCTTAACCAAGCCAAGATTATGTGTCCCAACAGCATTATACGCCTCCTCAAAACGACTATGGTTGGGCCCTGAGTCAAAAAGGAAATTGGAGAGGAAATATTCAAAGATAAATGATGATTACAATAGCCTTGAGCAGGTTAGATAGTATTCTTTGTTCCTCAGTATATCTAAATTTGTATTTGCCAGATTTGAACAACATAGGCTATTTCCATTTTGAGTGCACATAATACTCATTTTGGGAATGTGTTCTAAGGATCCATTTCACTAAGGATGATTTTTTACTCTGTAATGCCATTTTTTATTCTAAAGTTATTGACATGAAAAGTCCATTTGACATTTTTTTCCCTTATGTTGTAAAATTGAGGATCTCCATTTGTTATTAATGTTATAATAATCTGTAACCTTCTTGATGGCATGTATTAAGGAATTGAGATTGCTTTGGAATCTTAGTTGTTGTTAGTGATGTAACTATCAGCAAAGAGTTAGTAGATCTCTTAGTATTGCTATAAGTAAGTATAATTATGATTTGACTCTTATTTGTACATCAGTAGTTGGTTTCTTTCAGTGGTCAGACATTAATCTGGCCTGTTGTAGTGATGAGTGGTTTTTACATTGTTTTAGAGAGTTAGACACTGGTCATTTGAAAATAGTTTGGATACTAGATCTGGTTCTAGGTTGAACATTTGGCTGACACTTAAATAAATGTTCACTACAGCAGGTAGCAATTTTGATTTATTAAAAGTGGTATTGTTTGTTTCATCCTTATTTTTTTTATTGCTAAGCGTAAAAAAAATTCCAAATCAACATTTCAATTGATTAACTCAAGGAAAAAATAGATAACTTTAATAAAGACTCATTAATTGGTCAGGACTCATATGGAAGAGTGCTTTTCGGTGTTCTGAGAAGTGGGTAGTCTACAGCCATCAAGAAATTAGATTCTAGTAAGCAACCAGACCTGGATTTACATGCTCAGGTTTGGCTTATTATTATGCATTATCTTCAGTTCTTTTATAGCGTTGCACACGTTTGGCTTATTATTCAATGGCTGTTACATCATGATAGTTTAAGAAAATTGTGATCATGTTTTTATGAGTATTAATTTTATAGTTGTCTTTGATAGTCCACGGAATATGATTGAGCCCTATATATTAGCCAATATAATTCTAATTGATTTATAAATTTGTGGTGGTGATGGGACAGTCATAATTTATCTTTCAACATTGTTTGGCCTAGTATTAAAGAATGATGGTTACTTTTATGTTTGGTGGTTATTTTGTTCTCTATTCAATTGATGGTTATTTTGATGGGATCAGTTACAAATTTTGTCTTGTTTGGTGGCTACTTTGATATTCTTTGTTCAATTGACATAATACTAAATAATGGTATATTTTTCTGCATAGGGTAGGATTCTAGCTGTGATTTCAAGTGTAGAGCCGATGTTAGAAAGATGGAGATATCATGAAGGCAAAGAGATTGAAGTATTCCAAGAATTTACCGTTTTGACAGAGGAAATTATTTCCACTTCCAGGATAGGTTTTGGATGCAGTTACTTAGAAGGGGAAAATATATTTAATATGTTGACAATGTTGGGTGTAATCATCATAAAATTAAAGCTCCTGATCAGATAAAGCAAAACTTCCTTTCTGTAATTTTTGTAATTTGTGGCTATTTAGAGTCTATTTGGCTGAGTTATGAAAATTGGCTGAGTTATGAGCTTATAAACATTTGAAATTTTAAGCGGTTATGTGTTTGGTTAAAATACTTATAAGTGATTGATAAGTAGTTGACGCGTTTAGTTAAATGTGGTACATTTTATTATTAAAATGAGTAAAAAAAATATTATATTATTTTATCAAATAACAAATTATACCATGGAATTTTAAAATTAAATAGAGATAATGTGATAATATATTTGGTCAAACTAGCGCTTATAAGCTAAAAAAAAAAAAAAAAAAAAAAAAATAGTACCTACCCCTTAACTTATTATTATTATTTTTTGCTTATAAGTTAATTTATAAGCCTAAAAAAGGTTATAAACAAACATGTCAACTTAATTTTAGAGCTTATAAGTTAGTTTGATCAACTTATGAGCTTAAAAAAACACCCTTTTAGTTATTCACTTTTGCTTCTCTATTAATTCTATAGTATCATTTTTTATCTTTGCAGAAAATTTGTGGAAATCTGCTTTCTTTGTATTAAATTCCCTATATATATATATATATATATAGGGAATTTATGATCTGGATTCTTATTTGTCAGATATTAGTACTGTTAATGCTTAGTTTTATTTGGGTTTAAATTAACAAAACTTAAATATAAATGTCAGTTTAGAGTTGCAATAACTATAAGGACAAAGCGGTAATTCTAAAAGTTTTAAATTTTAAAAAATTCAATGATAACTTCATTCATTTAAAAATTATATTTAATAGAAAATTAGAAGGATAAATTGGTAATTTAATGTACTTATATATAATTGAGTCGTATATTAGTTATTTATATTTACAGAATGGGTATGTTGGTAACTGACCCAATTGATATAACAAATTAATAAAAATTATAAAGTTAAATATTTAAGAACATCTCTAATGATACTCTTTATTTTCAAGAGCATTTTTCATATAAATAAAGAACATTTTTATTAATTTTTAAATATAAAAAACACAATTTTTATTCAAATCCAATAGACTTTTTAAATTTAAAAAAATCCTCTTTATTTTTAAGAAAAAGACTTAATAGAAGAGAAAATTAATAAATAAAATACATAGAAATTTGTAATTTATTAATTAAAATTAGAATAGAGAGTGAAATTTGACTCTCTAAATGTGAAGAGTCAAACTTACTCTCTAATTTATATTTTAAAGATAAAGAGTATATTAAACTCTTACTTGTATTTTAGGTCATATAAAGAGTCATTTGGAGATGCTCTAAAGGTATTTTTGTCTTTTCAATCAAATATTAACAAAAAACCCTAACAAAACTTAATGAAGGGTGGCAAAGTGTCATTTTGAAACTTAACGGGTGGAAAAGTGTCATTTCACCAAACCTTGAGTGGGAAAATATCGTTCTCCCTTAAAATTATTACATGACAAGTTACAATGGTTCCTCGATAAATTATCAGGATGTTCATCAGGTAAACAAGTCTACTCCAAATCTGACTTGACTTTCATCCGATATCGGCGGCCTGAATTTTGTGAACCAACGGTTTTATTAGCAACAGTTTCTGGTTCATCTTCGTCCATGGCACATACTTCATCATATTCTTCATCAGCAGCAGGAATTCCTATAGGCAAGCCTCTCTTATACGTTGACTCCTTACTAGTATCATCTTGATTTTGCTTTGACTTGGTATTATTTTCTGTCATTGTAGCATCACCTGTTTTTTTCTTTGGAATAAAAGTAACTGTTTTGGGAAGACCGCCGGAATCATCTTCTGCTGGTGATTCTGTAGTATTTTTCTTTACCATATTAAGGAAGTCCATATAGGCTTGCGCGTTAGATTTATCATCGATATCATCTGAATCAAAAGTATAACAAGTATACTTGGACGGATTGCGCATATAATCTGGAATCCCAGAAGGATAATCCGGAGGTGAAGTAAACGCTTCATTTGAGACCATAGCTTCTTCCCTGTTGGTGTTCTCATCAACTCTGTCTTTACATTCGGAATCAAACCGGACACGCTTTCGAGGCTTTGAATCAGAAGGGTTATCCCCCCTCTTCAGAATTGGTTTCAGGCTACCCTCCTCAGTGTTATTCTGACTCTGAGTATCCATACCAGAAGGTGCATCTTGCTCAGATACCCGTAAAAAGCCAATTTTCTTTGCAGCTTCTGCATCTTCTTTCAGTCGAATTTTAGCAGCAATATGATTGGCACGAGGATCCCTAGAGAAATCCTTTACTGAGTCTGGAAGTTCATCACAACAATCTGCATCTGTCACATAGTCATTTACATCCTTCATATATAAGCGATCTCCAGTCTTTTCCTCGCCAACAGCCACTTTGTCAAACTGGTCTTCCTCTTCCTGTATAAAATCTCCAGTTAGATAATAAATATCACAAACCCTTGCTGAGACCCTTTGATTTTCCAATGAAAATACAAGAAAACCTCAATCCACCGCTCAGATCCAAACATGATCACATATTTGTTTGCACATTCAATAATGTGAAAAAATGTATAAATGACACTATCTTGGGTTACAAACTCATTATTTTAATAGTTCAAATAGCAGCCGACCTTCCCAACCTCCATGAGATTTTACCACATTAGTCCTGGCCTTAACAAATAGTTTGAGGAGAAACTCAACAAAAATATTTTCACAATCAACAAACTAAAATTCTCTGATGCTAATTGGAAATTTTCTTGTAAAGATTACTCTTCTGAAATCATAGCATAAGATGGTTTATCCTCTCCAAAGCATTTGAAAGAGAAAAATCTCCCATCAATTATAAATACAGTACTTCGAATATTGGATTACTTGAAAAATAGGTTCACACTTACACAAGTTTGCTTACACCTTGTCCTGTCGAATACATGTTCAAAAATCCATTAATTCAGTTTCAAATTCATTTCCAGTGAACATAAAATAACTTCCTACCCAGTGTAGTTCAAATCACCAACGCGTATTATCATAATTTAGCTCAAGAAACAGTTGAAAGAAAGCCTTATAATTCAAACTCAGTAACTAATGAATAGCATTCCGTAGAGATATCTACTTTATAGAAAAAAGTAGAACATTAATACATTTTTAAAGATTTATAGCTTCAATGCTTCAGTATCAATCATAAATAAAACTTACTCGAAAGTAATAAACAAAAAAACATATTGATATAGTGAAAGAGAAAGACACATACCTCGTAATCAAGCGTACAATCCAAGCCAATATTGCATTTTATCTCCCATTCTTCATCGTTATAATCATCTCCCTTCACAGACCGGCTCAACGAAGCACGTGAGTCACGTGCCTCTGCTTCGTCGTCTATACCATTGTCCAGGTCTAACAGGTCCTTCTCAAGCTCTGGATTGAACCGCTCCGCTTTCTTCTTCTGTCGAACGTTAGCGAAGAACGACTTTGGTTCGGGTTCGGGTTCTTCCTTGGTCCGGTTCCACTCATTCTTTTCAATTTCTTCGTCAGTGAGGGACCACAAGGAATTTAGATTCGGAGATGTTGATGACGAAAGAGAGCCGAAGATTTTGTCAACTCTAACTCTGAAACTATCATCCATTGTTGGTGGTTGAGACTTGAGAATTAGGGATTTTTGGGGTTTTTGAGCTGCTCTGCTCTTTCAGGACGATATTATCTTTTACTCAGACAGAGATATTCTTATATCCAAACATCTCGCTTTGGGCATTTAAGGCGGTTTAGCTACTGGGTTGGGCCATAGTAGCCCGTTATATTATCCAAAAATAATTACAATTAATTATATTTAATGTCATATTTACAATCTTTAACTAAAAATATTTGTCCTTATTGTTAAAATTATATATATATATATATATTATTTTTTCAAAATTTGTCCAATACTCCAATTTATAATATTGTATCAAAACCTAATAAATAAATTGGATTTATACCTTATCCAAAAAAGACAACAATAAACATCAATTTCGTGGCCCATCTGAGTGTGCACGCCTCTTCTCTTCGGACACACGGCTATCGGTTTCTTTTACAAATCACACGCGAGTGAGACTTTTTAAAAATCACACCAAACTTCAATCACTTATGTCAACTTGTAAAAACTCATCAACTACAACTCTACAACTACTACTCCATTCCCAATGATTCCAGTTTCTAGCAAGAAACAACATCAAGAGCTTGGGTCTTTACTTCTGTTCTGTGACAAAACGATGTCGCTCGCGATAACGTTCACGATCCTTTTGGCGGGAATTATCTGCACCAATTCAGAGTACATTGCTTACAACACTTCGGGGGGAATCGTCACCGGCATGATCAACGTTCACTTGGTTCCTCATTCTCATGATGATGTTGGGTGGTTGAAGACCGTTGATCAGTACTATGTTGGGGCTAACAATTCAATTCGAGTAAGATTATGTTTCATCTTTTTTTTTTTCAATTAAATTTAGTCTTCGTTAACGTTGAGCAATTAACCGATTGTTGTTTATTTGTTTGGATAATTTCAATAGGGGGCGTGTGTGCAGAACGTGTTGGATTCTGTTATTTCATCTTTGTTTGAGGACAAGAATCGCAAATTTATCTATGTTGAAATGGTATGTATGTATGTTTTTTTTTCTATGTTGTTTCTAAATGTGAGAGTGTTATGCATTGCATGTGACTAATTGATGATTTTGAACCGATTCTTAAGGCATTTTTTCAAAGATGGTGGAGACAGCAAAGCGAGGCCATGAAAGTTAAAGTTAAAGGGCTTGTGGACTCGGGTCAACTAGAGTTCATGTATGTTTCACTAGTAATACAGTAATACTTGCATTTTTATTTTTATCCGTTCATATAATTGCAATTTCATGTATCTTATAGCTTAAATATGATTGTTAGCACTTATCTACTAGATTAACTTGTTACTTAACATGGTATCTGTCACAAGTCTTGTTTGTTCAAATTCCCCACGTATTACATTCCTGCATATACATTTGCAACCTCCATTTCGTGTTTGTTAGTTGACAATGTGTTGGTCACATTTTTTTTTCTTCTATGGCTGATTGATTGCTTTGGGATTTGTTTCTATAGAAATGGGGGTATGTCTATGCATGATGAGGCAACCCCACATTACATTGACTTGATTGATCAGACAACTCTGGGGCATCAATTTATCAAAGATGAATTTGGGAAGCTTCCAAGAGTTGGCTGGCAGATTGACCCTTTTGGACATTCTGCTGTTCAAGCTTACTTGCTTGGTGCAGAGGTACCTTTTGCTGAAATTTGTTGGTTCTATAGATGTTTTTCCGATTATTCTTTACATATTTAGTAAATCTTTCTTTTATGTATTCAATAGTGAAATATCTTGAAAAAGTATTCTGCCATATAAGTTAGGATGTTAATGTTACATTGAGGACTAATAACTTTTTCGTTTATGTTGTTTGTGTGATAAAATCATATCAGCCTATCAATTCTGGAAATTAAGATCTGAATTTTTGTTGCAGTTGGATTTGACCTCTCTTTTTTGCCCGATTGATTACCAGATCGAGCTAAGCGATTAAAGGAAGACTCTTGAGGTTGTATGGAGGGGTTCTAAATCACTTGGTTCATCTTCACAGGTAAGGTTCATAATTTTGTTTTTCTTTTTGCCTTTCAAGAAATTTGACAGGAGAATGGAGATCTGTTCCTTTTTCTTGTTATGGCTTATTTTATGGACAGAGTCACCTCTTGTATATTTCAGACATACGACTAACTTCTTGCTTCGTTTAATTTATGCAGATATTTACTGGTATATTTCCTAGCATTATGACCCTCCTGATGGTTTCACATTTGAATTAATGATGTATCTGCTCCTTTCAGGTAATTTTGTAAAGATAGGATACTCTTGATTTTCTGCTCTAGCAATCCTATTCACATGAGATTTTTCTATTGAAGGATGATTTTCTCCTATTTGACTATAATGTTCAAGAGCGAGTCAATGACTTTGTAGCTGCTGCTTTAGCCCAGGTAAGCTTTGAAAATCTTCATTTTCTGAGACCAATACTCTACATGTTAATTTTCATTTAGCTCATTTTAAGCTATCGACAAAATAAAGGAAGATTAGAGGTTTTTGAGGAATCAATGAACTCTGTCATTTGAGATAATCCTTTAATTGTCATTGATCTTGAATGTTGCAAGTAATCCTGTGGTTATCGATGGACCAACTAAGAGTTTGGATAATTGTTTATATACTTAATTAATACTTTTATTGTTTGGGAAAAGTGCAATAAATTCCTTTTTCCAGCTGAAATTATGACTCTGTTAGTTAATGCTTAACATTAATTTTTGTGTTTGTATATTTTTTTTTATTTCTTATATTTTAAGGCCAACGTGACCAGGACATCATATTATTGGCTGATGGGAACTGATTTTCGCTATCATATGCGAATTCATGGTTCAGACAGAGGGACAAATTCATTCATTATGTTAATAAGGTACTCAACTTTTATAACCCTTCTTGGCTATGAATGTATTAGTAAGACAGCTATAATAAATGTTAGATTAAATACTATTTTGGTCCCTTACCTATAATCTCAAGCTTTTAGGTCAAGTTGTTCAACATGCTTTAGAGCTGGGTTAATCTAGTGGTCTTGTGTTCAAATCCTCCTCTCATATTAATTAAATTAGGAGTTCTGTTTGTGATCTGATTGCATTTGTGGCTGTAAAATGTAGGCAGTGCATGAGGGAGGGTATGTCAGAGCTTACTATTGGTGGGCTCTTGTGTAACAACTTAAGCTTTTAGGTGTACTGATTTCTTACATAAATTTCCATTTATGTTTTTGGAACATCTGATTTTTCTTCATGTTTTAGAGCTCTAATTGACTTCCTAGTTTTTAATTTTTTTCTAATGAAAACTCTCAGTGGGCGTGTAAATGCTCTATATTCAACTCCTCCATCACACTGATGCAAAAATGCTGCAAATGAAGAATGGCCCATCAAAACTGAAGATTTCTTTCCGTCAGTTTGAATTGTAATTTCTTCATGTATATCCTCTTTCTTTTTGCCAAAACCTTGACCAAAAAGAATACCAATTTCAGGTATGCAGATCGTTCAAATGCGTATTGGACAGGTTACTTTACCACAGGCCATCCTTCAAAGGCTATGTCAGAATGCTGAGTGGTTACTATGTTTGTAAATCTTGGGCCTCTTCTATTTCTTTGTTATTGTTTTTTCCTCTAATGGTCTCATGGGTGCCACACCTCGTTTTGTCTATTTTTTTTTTCTTTTGTTCTAAAATTAGTGGCAAGGCATTAGAACTTTAAAAGGCAGGAGTATTCAGGCCCAACACCAATGCATTGCGGATCTTTGGCAATTGCTCAACATCATGATGCGTTAGTGGTACAGAAAGGCAGCATGTTGCGGCTGATTATGCTTTACGACTCTCAATAGGCTAATTGAGGTGCATATCAGTTGTATCTCACATATTTTTCTAGTTACCAGAATTATTATATTAATGTGGAAATCTAATACTTTGGACTTGCATTAATCTTTAGGCTGAGAAATTGGTTGCCTCTTACTTGCTTTCTTGGCAGAGTCAAGATCAGGCCCGACCCAGGACTCCAGTCACAAACTTTCAGCAGGTATATATAGTCTGGGGGCTGTTTTTGTCTTGAAGAGCTCTATGATATTTCCTTGGTTCGTATCGCGGCATCTCAAAATGACAAGTCTGATATAGTGTGTTATATATCTGTTCAATAAGCTTTTATTGTAAACATTTAACCTTATTTTTTGTATAATTAATTGGTATAACATTAAAATTTCACATGCATTATACTATATGCAGTGTGGGTATGTATGTTGTGATATATTTATATATATAGGTTGTATTGTTTAGTAAATTAGATAAAATAGAAAGTGTGCAGATTTTGCAAATGGTATTAGAGCCAAACCCTGTCCAAGCCCATGTTTCGGAAGGGGCGACCTGGGAGAGTAGGCCACCCAGATGTGGCCAACATGGACGTTGGGTCTCAAGCCGAGCCCATGTTCTAGAAGGGGCGACCTGGGAAGGGCGACCTGAGAGAGTGGGCCACCGCGAGTGAAGTCGTCAAGTGGGCCAAATGGATGTTGGATCTTGAAGCGTGGGAAATGTTAGGATCCCATTTGAGAGGTAAAAAGGGTGACATGTGGTTTAGAAGGGCTTGGGCACCCCTCCCGCAAGCCGGTTTTCCAAGGAAGTTCTACCCAAGCCCACAAAAGGACCACTGCCAGTCCAATTCATATCAAAGCCACTCCAACTTAATTTCTATCAATTTGGGAGTGAGTTCCTATCAAATGCTAACAACTAGTTGACATCTTTACTAAGTCTCTAATTGGTAAAAGAGTACCTATATTTTAACAAGCTAGGCATGAAGATATATATGCTTCAGCTTGAGGGAGAGTGTTAAAACTATGTATATAGGTAGTCAAGGTATATACGTAATTGCAGTTATATATATATATATATATATTATATTGGTTGTACTGTTTAGTAAATGTAGATAAAATAGAAAAGTGTGCAGATATTTGAAACCACCTATATCAGCAGATAGGTGAAATTGGCATTAAGATAATTTTATAAAATGTGATAAACTTGGAGACCAGTGTGGAGACCATGGTTGATGATTA